TCCATATGCAGATATGAAATTTTTTGGACTGTCATATGAGATGTGTGGCTGTGCATTGTCATGCTGTAACAGTATACCAAAACTGAGCTAACCATGACATTTAGATCTTGTTATGGGTTTCAAATGATTCTGAAGCAAGTCACAATATGAATTCACTGATAATCAATCCTCTGGTCATATAATGTTCCAGAATTGAATTATCATGGTCACTAGAAAAATGTGAGCATTACCTTGCTTGCTTGCTTAGTCTATGGTTGAAAATAATGACTCATGATTTAACAATCACCAGTAACTATGCACTGCAGAAACACATCTTCATGCCATTACCTTGGTACCCATCTAGTAGAGACTTTTTTTTTATACTGCAGCATATTGCTAATAATGTTGTGCATAGAACCCTGACTAACGGACATTATTTCAATTACCTGAATGATTGTCACTTGCCTGTCTTCTCTTCTTATGACACGTTCCACTGTCTCTAACAATGTCAGGTGTAGTTGCAGTCTGAAGTCAGCCAGAGCAAGCTGTATCAGTTTTGTGACACACTTTTTAAAAATTTTTTGTGCCACTCATATACTTGATGTAGTAAATAAATAAGTATCCACATACTGTTGTTTCATTCTTCAATGATTGTCGGCCAGTTTTTCACCTTCACTACTCAAAAACCAGATAACTGCATGCTGCTTCTCTTTAGAGCATATCTGTAAGGATGCTGTCATCTTTGTTAAGGTCTGCTGATGTCACAGTCCATGTACGGTACCTGCCTAACTTTTGACATACCTATGAGATTGAGCACTTGATTTTGCTATATTTCACGAAAATGTTAAGCCTAATTCTCCATCGCATTTGTTAAGAAAACATTGAATAGAAAAAGTATTGAATGTCGTCTTTCTTATCAACAACTGTGAAGGAAGTATAACAATTTATTGTTAAAGGGATGAGAATGTCAACATTTGCCTGTATAAACAGGATGAATCTAATGTTGCTTGAGCCAAAGATTACATTCTATGTCATTTCAACACCACCCCTTTGTCTCACTGGATCACCTCTGCCCATACACCTGCAGATTCATAGCTAAACATCCAATCACTTGATGGGTTTTCCAGGCTAAATCAGATAAAAGGGAGGCAAGAACTCAAGTTGTAGTGGACTGTATCAGATTCCATACACAGGCCATACACCACCAGCCACTCTGTTCCAGCGGACATCGTCAAAATGCCATAGTCAGTTTGACATATTCCAAGGCGCTATAGAGAACGGACTCCTTCCAAGGCTCCCTCCTCACCATTATCATAGAAGATGATGGCTAGAATCACCGTATAAGAAATTAGATCCCAAAATGCAGGAAATGTTCCAAGAAGGAAATGCCATCCCTAAACACTGGATGACATTGATCATGGCTCAACCTCAACCAAGATAGAGAACAGCATTTCAACAGCATTGTTCTCAGAGGTATTTGAAGTAGCAAATTTATAAACTCTCTTTCTGTTCGATATTTGTTTATAGGAAACAGGGACTGCACTTTGCAAAGCGACATGTTTACAAGTAACATTTAGTTGTATATTCTGTAACTCTTGTAACCCTTAGATTTAGATGTTTAATATAAAACTTATATTTTTATTCATTAACCTGACTACCTGTCTCTATTAAACCATGGACAGTTATTGACTTACTCACGACCTTCCCACTCCACTAACAGCCCTCTTAGCCATCCAACAGACATGGAGATCAGGTTTTATCAATCTATGCTGATTAAGTGGTCATTAGGAATCGTCCCCTTGGCCTCCAGCTAATCTCACATACCCATGCATACCGAATCTACTTGCTTGAAGACACACACAACACCTCAAAATTATAGTCACCACAAGAGATTTAAAATTTTTTATGATCCTATTAAGCTTACTCTTTGACTCACCCATGTAATTACAAAATGAAAGAACCTCTTATTTTTCAGTTGTAATGATTACTTTTAAGAACTAAATCTTTAACAGTTTACTTACAGGAAACTTTCTTGATACAGCTATTTTTAATATTTTATACAAAAGTGAAGAATTTATCTGTTAAAATTATTAAGTTTAAGAAATTTTTATTAAATACAGCAAAAACATTATGAGTTTAGAGTGAGCAAATAATAATCTTGAATAACATTAAATTACATAAATTTGAAAGTACTGCTTTAGAATTTAATATGTTGTAAGCACTTTAAAAAAATCTGTTAATATATCAGAAATTAAACTTCTAGTCTTCTCTTAGATAATAATCCAGTAAAGGCCAAAATAATTAATAAAATAATGAAAAAATTTTATTCAATTATACTGAATATAATAAAAACACAAAACTTCAAACTCAAAAAATTCATAAAGTAAAAAGCTTTCTAAGTTATTAACAGCATTTTTATATTTTTAGAACTTTTTTGACATACTTAAATAAATAAGAATTAACATTTAATTATAATAGTAACAGGAATATAGCCTGATCTAATCCAGTAATTGTTTGGCAAGAATTAGTTATTATTCATAATTCTGTATGTTTTCTAATACACAATGACGAAGGTAAAATAATGATAATGTTTCCAATCTATATATTATACTAGTTATTAAGACTGAAACTAATTTTAAAACTTTATATGAAGAATATACTTGTAGAAACTGCAAAATATACCAGTGACGTGCCGTCCTTGGAAGTGGTGGAAGCACTGCTTCCCTTGTATTTTCTAAAACATAAATATATATTGTGCAATTATTTTCATATTTTAACATACTTTGAATTAATTAAAATTAATATTTTATTATAACCACATTATGTATCTTATTACAAATAAGATACATAATCTATACTTTAAAGATTATTTCTATACTACATGAGGAAAAAAATGATGATTGTATATTCGAATATCATTGGCAGAATGGAAAGCACTGTATTGTCGAATCGGGGACAGCTTCCATGGTGAAAATATTTGAATGGTGTAAAACAGCCAGATTTTACGCATTTGCATATATGCTTTACTGTGCGCCAATTACATATGGTTTAGCTGGTGAATGCTACACACCAAAATATTGTATAATGTTTTCAATGATTCTATCCGGGACCGGTTCTGGGCTGTTAGCCGCCTGCCTGCTAAATATTTGGTCGCCCTCATCCCATTATGTGTTTTTATGGATAGTTCTGTATAGTTGACAAGAGTTTAAAAAAAAATCCATTAAAATATTTGATATATTTATTCTGCTCTCCCATCTTGTATTACTTACAGATTTCAATGTTAAACTAGTAATTTTCAGACAATCTAGAATTTTTATCACTTTTAGATGTTAATAATTTTAAATATTATGAAAAACAATTTCCCAAAGAGTTTTAATTCTTTACATAAATCAAAAAATTCTTCATAAAATTTACATAAATTATTTAATGAATTGCAATATTTATATTTGCGTCCAGACTATATCACTCTTAGACATAAAAAAATATTATAATTAATGATGATGTGAACAAAGATGTACTAAAAGAATTATATGATTTAATATCATTAATTTTTACGGTGCCATGTACCAGTGCTTCTGTTGAGCATCGTTTTTCAACCATGAAGTGAATTGATAAATTGGCAAGGAACACTCAATCAAAGGAAAGATTGTCATCATTAGCATTGCTTTCAATAGAAAAAGAGCTTTTAAATACTTTGATGGAATCAAAAACAAGCGACTTTTATAATAGAGTAATTAACGACTCTGTGGAAAAAATTGCCGAATAGAGTTAGTTTATAGAAAATATAAAAACAAACAAGTTTTTCTATCATTGTTTATATCATGTCAATTTGTATTATGTATGTATTATATGTATTTTAGAATTAGAATAAATAAATTGTTTATTTTTGTTATTTCCAGTATTTGTTTAAAATTTTTATGGAAATGTGAGGTTCTGAACAAGTCCAAACTGTCACAAAAGACGTGAAAAAACAGTTAATTTAGAGAAAAATTTATTAGTTTAAAAAAATGATAGAAAAAAATTGTTTGTAGTCAGACACCTATTTGTTTATATCAAACTGCGATGCAGAAACCATAAATTGTGGAAGGAAGTCATCCTATGATCGGTGGAAGATTGAATTCATCTTCATTTTGAACTTTCTTGAGGATCAGGTAAGAGTCTTGTTACGCTTAGTAACAAGGGACTATCCACTTGGGAGGCATGATTGAAGGAGAATGTCCAATCAAAATGGACGAAAGAAAGAACAAAGATTGATGTAATTCCCGACAATCAAGGACACCTCTCACTAGGTTAGTTAACATTTTGAATAACCAAAATGCTATGTCTCAATGCACAAAAGAAGCAGTTTCTCATCTATTGTTCCAACCTGTAACCCGTACTACTTTGGACTTAGACTGTGTCGCTGACACCAACAGACGAGTCTCCCCACCTGTCTTTCAGACTTGTCAGCGTCACTGCCCTGGGGCCACCTTCAATCAACTATCAAAGAACCTCATTGATACCCAGGATGTCTGAACAGCTGATTGTTCTAAAGCAAACTATTTTGTACATAGTGTAAGTTTATTTTATGTTAAAATAAATGGTTTTTGTTAGCTACTTGTCATCTTTCTCTCCTCCTCCACCACTCACATATGAATGAACCTTAGACCATCACCAATGCGCAATTAACTGATTGCCCCTGGAAGTCACCTTCTTACAGGAACACAGCTTCCCTATCATCAAATGTCATGGCACACCACTGGAATATACATCTATAAAAGACTTTCACGGCTTTATCTTTGGTTGCTTGCTAACCACAGAAATAATATGCAATAATGCTAGAATAATTGTAAGGATAAAAGTTTATTTGTTGCTTCAACCAAAATTATGAAAGTTATAAATGAAAATTTTGTTTATATAATTTCATTTGATTTTAATTAAAGTATCTTATTAACTCAGGAGAAATAACTAATATTTTATTGATATTTTATTTTTTAATAATTGATTTAAATCAATAATAATAATAATAATTTTTTTATTAGTTGGATATTCAACTTGTCATTGGTGTCATGTTATGGAAAGAGAATCTTTCGAAAATGAAAATGTTGCCAAAATCATGAATGAAAATTTTGTTAATATTAAGGTAGATAGAGAAGAAAGACCGGATGTTGATAAAGTTTACATGACATTTGTTCAGGTTTGTGTAATTTATATGTAATTATCCTGATAAATTTTAATACATGAAAGTGTATATTATTTAAAGAATTAATTTTTATTTAGGCAACAACTGGAAGTGGGGGTTGGCCCATGAGTGTTTGGCTTACTCCCGATTTAAAACCAATATTTGGAGGAACATATTTTCCTCCTGAAGATAAATATTTTGGTCGGCCCAGTTTTGTCACTGTAATGAAGCATGTTTCGGAGCAAGTAAGTCATTTATTATATAAATTAAGTACTTTTATGTTGGTAAGAATAACAGAGAGAATAATTATTCATTACTACTTGATAGGAAAATAACTTTAATTTGTAACTGTAATGGCATAAAAGCTTTTTTATTTGTTCACTTTATTACATAAAGTGAATAAATTAAAAAACTTCTTAAAAAATCTGGATGAGCATTTTAAATCACTGCCAAAATTCACTTCATGCATATGATGTATTCCATGAGGAAGAGCAACTGTTTAAGCTTCCCTAGAAATAATTTTGGTATACAGATTAACTAACTATGGTGACCCTATGATCCTGATATTACATCTTTAGACTTCATGCTCTGGGGATATGTGAAGGAGAGGGTTTATGCTGGCACCAAAATCAGTGATCTCAATAAATTTCATATTCACATACAGGACATCATTGCTTCTGTTATGCTGCAGATGTTGCAAAACATATGGCAAGAAATTGAAATATTGTTTTATTTTATATGCAATAGGAAGAGAGCACTTGTGGAGATTTAATTTTGTGTAAAAAGGAATAAAGGTAGAACTGTAATGATTTTCCCTTATTTTTATTGTAGTACTTACCTAATTTTACTTATAGCCTTTCAAAATATGTCAATTTCAGTCCAGACACCTTATATTTTCTGTAATTTTACATGCATTATTGTTATTTTTTTATTAATTACATATATAATAAGCCAAGAATGTAATTATACATACAACAGAAACTCTATTAAATAGGGTTCATTTTACTCAGGGACTTCATTGACTGGGGTCTTGATAATGAAGGCCATATTAAAAAAGAATATATAGATTACATACCAGTGAATCATAAACACTTTACATTTTTTTTATGTACTATTAATCATTATAGATTAGTTTCAAAGGAAGAAATTATGTACGCTTGTTCATCTTCAATTTGTTTCAATTCTGTTTTTATACAGAAAGGATGGTTAATAAGTAGAAACGTGTTTATTATCCTTAGGCTTTTTAGTGTAAAATATCTCACATTTATCGACTACACTTAAATTTCAGAACATTAAAATTTCTATTAAATTCATATCAAATAAATGAAAATACAGGATAGTAAAAAGTCACTTAACAAACTTATAAAATCAAATGGAGTCAAGCAGGAGAAATTTTGACACAACAGAAACATATTATGCTTTGACACTCTGAGTGTTCTAGATTCATGAGGAGCCTTCCTATCAGATATGTACTAGATTGAGTGTAGATTTGGTTAGACTGAATAAAATAAAAAGCTTTCATCATCATTCTGTTTCATGCATATTGAGTTACAGTCCATCTTATTTGTAAACAATGCCTAATGTTGTTTTTACATAAAGAATTGTTATATAAATTGCAATTCAGAAGTGGAGAGCATTGCAAAGCAATACAAAATGTTGAGGTTGTGCTGGAGGTAATATATAAATATTTATATGTTGTTACATATTAAATCAAACTTTTTAAATTATTGTCAAAGTTATAAAGTAGAAACTAGTTATTTTCATATTAATAAAAAATTCTACTTATAATCATTGTAATTTCTTTTAATATAATACTAAAAAATTAAAAAATAAATGGTTAACTATTTCATTTCCTTATCTGTCCCTTTATATGTTATCAGACACACATTTTTATAGCTAACACATTGATGTCATGCTTGTAACAAAAGAATTTAATAACCTGTCTTGAAAGTTTTTGTTTATAAAATTGAAATGAAATGCTAAAAATTAATCATAAGTTAATATTATTTCATATGAGTTAATTTTTTATGAAATATTTTAAATAAATTAATAAATTATTATTTACTTAATATAATTAGTGGAGACAACATCAAGACAAAGTTTGTGAGCAGGGAAATAGAATTATGGAACTTATCAAGCAAAATGTACTACCTGAATCAGATGATGCTTATTTGGACAGTGAAGAATGTATTCAAAGTTGCTTCAAACAATTTACTCAAAGATATGATACTAAATATGGTGGATTTGATAAAGCACCTAAGTTTCCCCAACCAGGTATATTATTAATAACAATTTTTTACATATATTTTTTATTATTTAGTGAATTATTATTACTAAAAAGTAATGATAACTTTGGCCGTTTATTATTTTCTAAACTTTACAATAATGTATAATGTTAAATTTTTCCATAAAAATAGAGTATTATACATTTTTAGAAGGATTTTAAAAAATATTAGAAAAACAGTAAAATAATCCAAAAGAATATGTCTGGAAACAAGTTATAATATGAAATATAAGCAATTGTCTGCTGTAATTTACTATTGTCTGCTTTCAAAATGGAGTGCACAAATTTTGGATTGAAAGTTGTTTTTGCTCTTCCTGAAGAGAAATATTCTTGCTTCATAATTAAAAAGCTTTGTGAAAACTATGAAATTGGCATTTCCACCTGTAAAATGAGCAATATTATTGATAATAAAGAAAAAAATCATCATTTATTGCTTTAACCAGTAGAAGAACACCAAACAAATATGCAAAGAAGATATGTCCTGACTACTTTGACAATTTCAAAAGTAAGATCTCTGGTCTTAAAAGAAAATTCAGTAACTTAAAAAACAATTTCTATAACTATAAATACCTCTGTATCAATAATAAACAAAGATATAAATTGTAAAAAAATCAAAAATTTATGTTTACTGCCTTTTGCCTAAGTTGCTGAACACACAACACAATGTAGATTGCTTTATGAAAATCATTTTGCCCATGAGAGATGGAACTATATTTTGACTATTGATGAAGCATAGATCTATTTAAATGGTTGTAACAAAAAATTATCAGTTTACTATTTCAAAAGGGAAGAAAAAGATTTTCAACTTTACAATCCAAAGAAAGCTTTAGTAATGTTTCTTGATTATTGGTGGTATCTCATATATTGGAAAATTAAAGTTAAGAAAAGTTGATAAGAATGTCAAAATCAATTTACATATTACTAAAATAATATTTTAATATCCATATTTAAAGAAGAAATACCATCCCTTTATCACAGAGCGTTCAAAGAGTATTAACTCATTATGATAAGGCTATCATTCATACATCCAAATTTACTACTAAATTTTTTGAAAAAATGACAAAGTAGCTACTAGTATCAATATCTTACTTTTGACTACATTTTGACTGTGTCCTTCAGAAAACCCTGATATGTCTCCAATGGACTACTGTGCAGTTAGCTTATTAAAAAGAGCTCTTTCTAAATGCAGACCTAGAACAGTAGATTGACTATGGAAAGCAGTGGAAGAGGTGTGGAGTAATATCACTATTTATTTTAAGAAATGCACTCATATCTTGAAAATTAAATATAAGTTGATCATCCAGATAAAGGTCTGTCAGATAGAACATTTAAGAAATAAATATTTTTATAAAAANTTAGTGAAATATGCCTGTAAATTATGTTATCAGGATAACAATAGCAAATTTTACTTAGAACTAACAAGTGCTATAATAGTTTTATTGTGATAGAATTATTATTTTGTTGTATAAATGAAAGAATATTATATTGATATTTAATTATATATTTTTATAAAAAAGCATTAATTTTATTGCAAGCAGACCCTTTCTAAAAATGTGTGAACATCCTCTGTAGAAATTTATATATTTTTTAATTAATATTACAATTTTCTAATGAGCTTGGAAGAGCAGTAACTAGCTCAGGCTTCTGGGATGACTTTTGTGGTTTCATTTCAGAGTTTTAAAAAAATTCCTGTTGGGTCAGTTGTTTTTGCACGTGCGAAAACCTGACTGGGGACCGATCAGGTTACACCTACATGTGGGCATGAGATTCAGGGATGCCTTTTGTTCAGGTCAGTTAGATGAGCAGGATGTGACCAGAGTCCAGTCCGACCATTATAATCAACCACTTTGAAATTCTTTGTTAGATATTAAATGGGAATTTCGTGATTAGAGATCTTACACTCTAAGATCCTAACAATTCCCACATCAGAGTTTGATGATTTTGGTGTCAAAATGCTCAGTGGAATCCTGGCATGTGCATAAAGTAATTTCTGGAAAATATAATTAACTCTGAGATAAGATATAATCAAAAAATGGAAATGTCAACTTTTACCTCTTTGACACTTAATAACAGTATTTTGACATTTTTGGGTGCTGGTTTTTGGAATATAATGCCAGAGTTTGGTGAATTTAGGTTGAACTATGGAAAAGTTATCTGAGTTCAAAGAAAAAAAGGAACCAGGTTTATTTCCTATGTGTACAGCCACCATGTGCTGCACTTGCTCTCACTGTTACAGCATCTGTAGTGGCAGTAGTATTGTCTCATCCCCACTAGATGTCATCTTTCACAAACTGTAATAAAGGGGAAATTTTCCACAATTTTCTCCAATCAAAATATTCTGGAACTTTCTGGAATATTTCGCTAGTAGTTTGTGTTAGTGGCATTGTTCTGGAACCGTCTGGAACTGGAGCACAAGATTGTACCTGTTCAGGATTGTCAAAGGTTGAGAGAGACTGAACAAAATCTCAAATGTGGCTGGTTTTAACAAGTGACTTCAATTTATCAAAGACTTTTCACGCTTAAATGTGAAATAATTTATTATTATTTTATTTATTTAGTTTAGTTTAATTTAATTTATTTAGTATTACACTTTTCTTTTTTATCTGTACTTTTCATTATATTATTTTCTTTTATCAACAATAAATCACTTATAATCTTTTATTTGTGACATATTACTGCTCAAACTGATCACTGAGGCTAACTACAAAGATATACCAATTACTGGTGAAAGCAAATAAATAAAATGTTTAAATTTCTGAGTTTTTTGATGATTTTACAATAATAACTGTATTTTGTTTTCTTGTCATATTTAATTTAAAAAGAGTTTTTTTTTCATTTGAAATGTGTTTCTTATTAGAAGTTACTTTATATTTCTGAAGGAAAAGGCATCTATTGTCTAAGATACATTGCCATTGTAAATGAATGAATAAATTTTTGATTTTACATACTAAATCAGTTTTGAATCTTCTAATGAAACTAAATCACTATATAGTACTTGAACCATAAGGATATGCCTGCTATGACAGCTGCTCTTCAGGCCTCTTTGTTTCAGGCTAGATTGATTCATTGCTCTCATCTTTGCCAGTCAGTTTGATGTTTTTTTTACTTTCATCTATAACATCTTTAAATCCAGAATCATATACAGTGGTGCCTCGTATAACGTACACCTTGAACAATGAACTTTCTGTTTGGCCGTTACATGACTCAAGCAACGGACTGGCTTTGAACAACAGACTTTCCGTTCGGCAGTTACGTGAGGTGAACAATGGTCTTACTGCGAACAAGTGCGAATGATGTTTCCACCGTTTTGCCGTTGCCAATGACAATCTGCTATTTTTATAATATATTAGTATTATTAAAATATATTATTAGTATATCTGAAGTACAGAGCTCCCGTTGAGATTCGGCTTGCTCCCTTGTTTATTATGTACATCACCTCAGTGCAAGGTATTTACATTTATTCAAGTGTTGTGCAAATCATGGCTTCTAAAAAAACAGAAAAGTGATTTCAATTGAAACAATGTAAGACATCATCAGAAGGAGTGAAAGTTGACAAAAAGTTCCTTGTCAAATGGGGGAGAGGTTCAGGAGTTAACCAACACTCATTATCCAAACAGAGCTGAGGCCAACAGGATCAATGACACCCTTGCCCATCATTTCCGACAGGTGTTGAAGAAGAGAGAGAAATAGACGACCTTGGACATGTTTTTCAAGAAACCAGCTGCCAAAAAACAAAGGATGGAACAAGAGGAGATGACCCTGCAAGCTCTGGTAGCCTCTCCTGAATCTGACTCCGATTAAAAACAATAAAAAGAGATCTTCTGCAATGTGTAAAAAGTCTGTATCTGTATGAATGTGTAAAGAAGTGTTCCTCCACCTCCTCCTCACGACATCTGACTACCCGGCATAATTGGTGACTGCTCCATTTTCATTTTTTTTTTATAGTACAGTACGGTTATTTTATGCCGCGGAACGAATTATATGTTTTAACATGTATTTCTATGGGAAAATGCGTTTCGTATAACGGACGTTTCACTTAACGGACGTGCACCTGGAACGGATTAAGTATGTTATACGAGGCACCACTGTAGTTGTTTATTCAATAAGTTGAGAATTTTTGTCTTTCACTTATTGATCAATAAATAAATAATTTGATTTAATAATAGCTTATTTTTAGTATGTTATATTGGAGAACTTTAATTATATTCAGAAATTTTCACATTTATTAAGATAAATTACAATTAAGATTAAATTTATAAGAAAAATATAGGAATGCCATATCCGATTTCTTTTGAAAATGGTCAGGTTGCTTATAAAAATATATTTTAATTTAGAGCTAATTAATAATTGTTAATAAAAGAAATATAAATAACATTATCTTTTATGATAAAAATTATTTTTATAAATTATTAATTTATTATTACTTTAAACTTTTCAGTAAATTTTAACTTTTTGTTGCGGCTGTATAAATTGAATCCCAATTCAAATGAAGGGAAATTAGCCTTGAAAATGTGTCTTCATACAATGATAGAAATGTCTAAAGGAGGAATTCATGATCATATTTGTCAGGTAGAAAGAATTTATAATTCTAGTTATTTAAGTGATAATAAGGAAAGATACATCTAATAATTTTAGAATTATAATTTAAAAAAAAAATTTTTTTAAACAATTCTAATTGAGCAATGTAGACATTCATTTGTCTAATAATGAATATTGTAAAAATATAAAGTATTCTATTATAATTTTCTATGATACTTAAAATTGTTTGAAGGGTTAACTTTCAAAATGTTATCAATATAAACTGTTCTAAGGGAATGCTTGCTATCAAATATTTGATTAGTTCAAGTAGAAAAAAATGTGAAATGCCTATATTAGTTTTCAGAGTAAGCAAGTATGAAAATGATTTTAATTTGTAGAAAGATAACTCTCCTTAAGTTTATTATTATTTTTTTAAATCATAAGAATTTCATTAACAGTGTGTGCTTAATTTTTAGTTCACTTATAATTATTTTTTAAAAAATTTTAATAAGAAAATTCAACATTATCCATAACACACAGAAATGATATATGATTTTCTGCTTATTTGATGGCATATAGAATGTTTATTCAAAGAAAAAAAAAAACTCAAGAATTGCCTTACACCCTATATGTAAAGCTAAAGCTTCTAATAAGCTAATGTTTAACTTATTAGGGGTGAACATTAACCTTTAATTAAAAAGGAATTTGAATAGATAACCTGAGATGTAAGTGGATTATTTTGAATGTGGGATATTCTACAATACATATTGAAGATGTAGAGTTAATCTACAGTACAAGCATGCATAATTTTAAGAGTCATAAGTTTTGGTTGTAAAAACAGTTAAATGGAGATACAATTTAATCCATAATTTAATTTTAAGATGTGGGGAGTTAGACAAGGTATTAATGTCTGTACAAAATTTGATTGGTGTAAAAGAAAAAGCCTGTTTTATTATGGTGTAAGCCAACGGTGGGCAACCCCCGGCCCGCGGGCCAGCTACGGCCCGCGAAAAGTTTCTATCCGGCCCGCGAGATGTTTAGAAGAAATTATAAATAAATATTTTTCGATGTAATTCGTCTAGTTTAAATTGAATATTATTTTCTGAAGTGTTGTAACAGCAATGACAGGAAAAAATAAGGGAGTCATTTCCTTATTCAAACAAAGAATGGGAAAACAGAATTTTTCTAAATTATTTATATCTCATCGCGTCATCCATCAAGAAAATCTATGTGCAAAAGCTATGCAATTAGAAAATATAATGTTTGTCGTATCCAACTACATAGTGCTGTTTTTATTGTGTTTAAAGTCATCTAGATTATACAAATAGGTGAGCCGTTCACAGCCCGGCACACGCATTTGTAAAATCTAAGTGACTCATACAACATGGAATTCATATAAAACGGAATAATCAACAGTGTTATAGGGGGTTCGACTGTAGTAATTAATTTCTTTTTATTTATTTATTTCATATTTTCAGACTAAAAATTTACAGGTCACAAGGTGTCAATTAACTACTATGGCCCTCGGAAAAAGCGTAAAATTTATTCTGGCCCATGTTATAAAAAAGGTTGCCCACCCTTGGTGTAAGCTATAGTGATTCAGCTTCTCTGTCTAGCTTACAACAAGCTTGGTTCCCTACTTCATGGATTACAGATTAGATAATGCAGTTCTTATAAGACCAACTATTGCATTTTAAACTTTTTAAAATTAAGCAGTAATCATTTCTGAATTTCGATAAGTGTTACATCCTTTACCTTTTTGGGAGGAATTTGAAACTAGAATGATAAAGTTAAATAATTCCAAAATTCATCAGTATTAGTTCCTGATAAGATTGCCAATTTTGTTACAATATTACATATTATTTTCATGCTGACCTTGTTGCATGTTTTATCTCTTTTTTTTTCTGGGTCATTTCAATAAAGATAGATTTAAATAAAACTAATTTTTTTTTTCTAAATATTACTCATATTTCAAAATTATATTTTAATTCTCAATTAGTGTCTTCAATTCAATGCAGTTTTTCAGTTATCTGAATATCACTGATAAAGTAAATTTATTAAAACAGAAATATTTTATTTAATTAGGGATTTCATCGTTACTCAACAGATCAAGAATGGCACATACCACATTTTGAGAAAATGCTTTATGATCAAGGACAACTTGCTGTTTCGTATTTAGAAGCATTTCAGATTGTCAAAGAAAAGAAATTAGCTGATATAGCCTGTGATATTCTAAATTATGTTTCACGAGATTTAAGAAACAAGGTAAACTTAATTCTCTAAGATAAAATTCAAATCTCCTTTATTAGGTTTTAGATTACTACAAAAGGAAAAAATAATTGGATTCTTTAAATGATGATTTAACGATTATATTAGGCTAATTCTTTTTTTTTAGAATGGTGGCTTCTATAGTGCAGAAGATGCTGATTCCTTGCCAGATCATAATGCAATCCATAAAAAAGAAGGTGCATTTTGCATTTGGACTCAAAAAGAAATTAAAAGTCATCTGGGACGAACCCTAAATGAGAATTGTAACATAACTTTAGCAGATATTTTTTGTAAATACTACAATGTTCTACCCAAAGGCAATGTTGATCCTTATAAAGTAAATAGAATGCTTGACTATTTTTAAAAATTTAATAAGTTTTTAAAACATTTATTCATTTCAAATCACTTTACTTTCTCAGGATCCACATGATGAGTTAAAAGGAAAAAATGTCTTAATGATTAGAACTTCTGAGGAGGAAATTGCAAAAAGTTTTAATATAACTGAAAAAGTAGTCAAAAAAGCACTGGATCAGTCAAAGGAAATTTTATATGAAGTACGTCAGAAAAGGCCAAAACCTCATCGGGACGATAAATTTATTACTTCGTGGAATGGTATTTCAAAATATCACTTTTTGAAATAAAAATATTGCATATTAAATAAATTATTTTATTTATGGTCATATAGCTTTGATGATATCTGGATTTTCCAAAGCTGGACAGGTTCTTCAAGAACAGCATTATACTACTCAAGCAATAGAAGCTGCTAAGTTTATATATAATTATCTCTTTGATAAAACTGCAAGGTGTATGTTAAGAAGTGCTTATAGAGATGAATATGATAATGTAGTTCAGTTGTACGTATTGGTGTAATTTTATTTTTAAAATGTTTTAAAATATATTTTAATCATTTTTTCGTGTATAATTTAAAGATCAAAACCAGTGCCTGGAGTATTAGAAGATTATGCATTTACAATTCGAGCTCTACTTGATTTGTACGAAGCTTGTTATGATCCCTGGTGCATTGAATGGGCTCTTGAGCTTCAACAGTTACAAGATGAATTGTTTTGGGATTCAGAAAATGGAGCTTACTTTTATAGCATAGTATCTGATTCATCAATTATATTACGGTTAAAAGAAGGTTAGTAATTTTTTAAATAAATGAAAAATAGTAATTTAAATTTTAATATGAATGTATTAAAACTTATAAAACATATAAAACTATTTCATATGAATAAATCTAAAAGAGAAAAGAAAAAGTTTGAAAATAAAGAAATATATATTGTTTTTCAATAAATAATAGGATTTATTTTGCTAAAATGAAGATATAACAAATACACATTAATTTATAATCTTTAATCAATTGACATGCTGCAAATTCTGACATTTTAGTTAGATAAATTAATTTAAAAGTTAACATATTTAATTCAAGAAAATGACCAACAGGTTCTTTCCTGTTATATTCATTTTTATTATTTTCAATACTTGTTCTACTCTTAAGAGTTTCACAATAATTTTTTATTTATTACTAGCTGCAAGGACCTGCTTCGCTGGGTTTTTATTTGTTCGTACATTTGTATGTAATATATTTTTTNTACACCATTTTCATTATCAAAATCATATAATGAGAACCTTTGTCAAAACTTGTTCAGTTTCAGAAATCACAAGAAAAATATGTATGTAGCAGTGATAAAAGTAAAAATATCAACAAGAACCAGGATAATTTTTTGCTTAAAAAGACAAAACAACAAAATGGAGAAAATTTATTTTTGAAAAGGTGAAAAGACAATCACAAAATACACTGTGTCAATTGCCTCTGTCAAGAATAAAGATCAATATGCAGAGATGTTGAAATTGTTTTGCTGATAATGAGATATTGAATTTGAAATTTATATTTACTAATATCAAATTCAACATTCAGTACATAGTCCATACAAGACAATAATATTTGGCAAACAAGTGCTAAAACAACATTCATTATAAAACTAAAAGCATTTATTTATTTGGCCAGATTATATACAAGAGTAATCGTCAAAATTTGTAGGAGTTGTGAGATATAAATGGCAAGAGAATAGAAATGTTCTGCCTCTATCTGGTCTGGTTTTTGAAAAGGTTCAAATTATTGTATATTGCCATTCAATTCAACAATAAGTGGATATGTGGAAACCAAGTCAAACTTGATAAGTTAGCAGTTTTGAAGGAGTTGTTTATAAAACTTGTCACATTTTGTCCCATCAAACAACAATTAACAAAATTCTAGTCGGATTCAAAAGCAAATATATATTTAAATAGTATATTACTTCAGAGTCAAATAAGTGCAGATGTAAACATTTTGTGTGTTTGATACTTTATACACTTTTTATATACATCAAACTTTAAAATTTATGCAGGAAAACAACCTGAATGTTTGTTTATATTCTTTTAGCAACTAACCAGTAGAAGCTGTGAAGATACTTGTGGAGTCTGTCTTCAAGACTGGGCAAAATTGCTATTTTTAATATCCAAAACTTTACTGACAATAATAATAAAGTTTAAAATATTATTGAAAGCTTAAATTTATAATGACATTAACAAATTATCTTCTTCTCAATAACTGGAACAAATTACTAAGCACAATCAACAGAACCTTTAACGTCCAGTAATGAAATTTAATATAAAAATTGACGAACATTTTCGGTCTTAAACAAGATCTTCATCAGGTCAACACTATATTCCAAATTGGAATGCTCAGAATACAAGTTTTCAAAAATTTTTCAAACATGTTTTTGACTAATTAGAATGTAAAATGTATGTTCTCATGCATCAACAGTGATTCCAGTTACACTTACTGTTGTCTCTGACTTGGAAGTTTCAGGTATTTAGAATTACTATGCTACTGTATATCCTCCTGACTTTTAATGGAACTTTTCCAGTTTTCTTGTGAATGTGTCTTGTATTTTTAGGCTTTTATATATACTGACAAATGAGAAAAACTGTGATCTATTTAAGACAATATTGGCTTTATGGTTATGATCTGAAATATATCCTACTGCATTAGTGAAATATGCCTGTAAATTATGTTATCAGGATAACAATAGCAAATTTTACTTAGAACTAACAAGTGCTATAATAGTTTTATTGTGATAGAATTATTATTTTGTTGTATAAATGAAAGAATATTATATTGATATTTAATTATATATTTTTATAAAAATTTATAATTGAAACCAATATTGCATTGTATTACTACAGATTATAAATATAAAATGAATTTGGTTATAATGTGAAAGAATATTTCTGTTTAATCTTAATTTATTGATTTCAATGCTTGATCCCCAGATATAAATATTTCAATTGATTCGATTTTGCTAGCATGGTGAAAACTGTTCAACTAATTTGTTATTATTTGGTTTTGTAAAATATCATTTTGTAAAATTTATATTCCTGAATCATTTCAGATTTTTATCAATTACAATTTGAGAGGTGCATTAAAATTGCATATATTGATAGAAAATATGCTATAATGTTTCTGCAACTATCAAGTATCTGCTAGACATTATAAAAATGACATTATATTTTTAAGATAACAATATCAAACGATTGCTGTAATGCACTGGGCTATTTTTCTGCTTATTAATAGTAATGGAAAATAGCCCAATGCATTACAGCAATCTTTTGGCATTGATTAATAATATCTGGTTTTGACAGATTTATTTATGAAGATAATAAATAGGCATCTAAGCAATGTCTAATTAATAGCCTTTCAATATTATAAAGATAAAAATCTTTAATGTAAATTTTAAAAATTATTGTTAATAATTGTTTATTTTTTTAAATCTAAATTAAATTTTTTTTTTTAATCTAAATAATCAATGTAGATAGTGAAAAGAATCCATAAGAAATTTGGCGTACAATAGTTTGAATGTATTAATTAGTAACATGCTTTTTAGCTCTATTCTAGTCATACATATTCCAGATGTAACTTAATTGATTTATATAATTTTAATGTTTCTAAATTAACTGCTATTATTATTATTATTATTAATGTTTTGCAAATTGTAGTGTGTCTGTGAGATATGTGAGATAATTTGGTTTGGTTCAAACTTATAAGACCCTTAGACTTTCAGTAGATTCAAGAATAATCCTCCTCTCATGTTGAACAAAATCATGAGAATTACAAATGTAGCTTTAGTTTCTTATTGATGAAAGGTCTATATTTTGTATATGTAAGATAGACTGTGACTCCCAAAAGTGCATATATGGATTACAGTAAAATTTAAACATTTTGATTTATGTAACCCTGATGATGATGCATGATACAGCAGTTATCTCTAAAAACAGGTAAAGCAGATAATGATTTTGAAACATATACACCATTTTCATTATCAAAATCATATAATGAGAACCTTTGTCAAAACTTGTTCAGTTTCAGAAATCACAAGAAAAATATGTATGTAGCAGTGATAAAAGTAAAAATATCAACAAGAACCAGGATAATTTTTTGCTTAAAAAGACAAAACAACAAAATGGAGAAAATTTATTTTTGAAAAGGTGAAAAGACAATCACAAAATACACTGTGTCAATTGCCTCTGTCAAGAATAAAGATCAATATGCAGAGATGTTGAAATTGTTTTGCTGATAATGAGATATTGAATTTGAAATTTATATTTACTAATATCAAATTCAACATTCAGTACATAGTCCATACAAGACAATAATATTTGGCAAACAAGTGCTAAAACAACATTCATTATAAAACTAAAAGCATTTATTTATTTGGCCAGATTATATACAAGAGTAATCGTCAAAATTTGTAGGAGTTGTGAGATATAAATGGCAAGAGAATAGAAATGTTCTGCCTCTATCTGGTCTGGTTTTTGAAAAGGTTCAAATTATTGTATATTGCCATTCAATTCAACAATAAGTGGATATGTGGAAACCAAGTCAAACTTGATAAGTTAGCAGTTTTGAAGGAGTTGTTTATAAAACTTGTCACATTTTGTCCCATCAAACAACAATTAACAAAATTCTAGTCGGATTCAAAAGCAAATATATATTTAAATAGTATATTACTTCAGAGTCAAATAAGTGCAGATGTAAACATTTTGTGTGTTTGATACTTTATACACTTTTTATATACATCAAACTTTAAAATTTATGCAGGAAAACAACCTGAATGTTTATATTCTTTTAGCAACTAACCAGTAGAAGCTGTGAAGATACTTGTGGAGTCTGTCTTCAAGACTGGGCAAAATTGCTATTTTTAATATCCAAAACTTTACTGACAATAATAATAAAGTTTAAAATATTATTGAAAGCTTAAATTTATAATGACATTAACAAATTATCTTCTTCTCAATAACTGGAACAAATTACTAAGCACAATCAACAGAACCTTTAACGTCCAGTAATGAAATTTAATATAAAAATTGACGAACATTTTCGGTCTTAAACAAGATCTTCATCAGGTCAACACTATATTCCAAATTGGAATGCTCAGAATACAAGTTTTCAAAAATTTTTCAAACATGTTTTTGACTAATTAGAATGTAAAATGTATCAATGTAAATCAAACATATAAATATACAAAACTGGTGGCATTTTCATGAAAAACCAGGAAATACTGGCATAAATTAATTATTATTATTTTGTAATATGTTATGTATTATATTTATATTGGATGCAATTTTATAATTCTTAAAAATACCACCAATTTTTTTGTATATTTATATGTTTGACATAATGAAATTACTAACAAAAATGAAAATGTTTTCTGTCAAGAATTATTTTAGACTTTTTGATTTGTTAATTAAATTGAGTTTAATTGACTTATGATTAAACATTATTAAATATTGGTTGGAGGACCTGGGAGTTTCATATGCTTATCAATCTTGTGTATCAGATGATAACTTTTTTCTACTGAATTATTACAAACACTAAGTGATAAATATTGGTTGCAAGATAGGATGCCATTTCATCTTTTTTATGGTATATATGTACTTATTTACAATCACCATGATATTACTGATATACAATTAAATAAATAAGCAATTACCCACAAACCAGCAATTAATTCTCTTTTAAACAAACGTTTTCATCTATTTTAAATGGTCACTGTCAGGTTTTAATGTAAATGGAATGTTTATAAAAGAACGTAAACTCCAAAAATTTAAAAAGTTTGGACATTGTGAAGATACAAGCATGCTCAATGTTATGTTTAAAAAATTTGTTTTTTTTTTAATTGTTTTCCAGTTTTAAAAATATGAAGTTTATATAAAATATAAAAAAAAACCACAAAGATCTATTTTACATCAAAGCACACCCTCCATGCAGCTGCTAATGAGTCTATTTTTTTAAAATTGCTGTTCCCCTCCTAAACACTTTAAATATCTCCAGTTGTTCACGATATTTCAGGTTGGTCGGGTCCTCACACTGTTGCAGTAATCGGGCATTGTCAAAGTCAACCTGGACATCGTTATTAACAGCAAAAGAAGCCTATGCGGTAGAGGAGTTCTTTTACAAATATTCCATTTATGTTTAATAATACGAACCTTTAGAATATCTAAAGAAATCTTTTGTTAGGGCATGAATTTCATTTCTATTCATTGCTTGATGAATAAAAATGTTCCTTAACATCTTTAACATTGTTTAAGGTGTTTAAACTTTTTCAAGACTCATATTATGGAATAATATTAACGACCAATTCTGTTTGCTTTATATATTTGCATTTGTCATGTTACGATATGATGTTAATAATTATTAACGTATATTAATGATTATGTGTACCAATTATCTTATCTTTCTTTTCTCCCCTTGTAAAGCTGCAAGTCAAGTCAATNTAGAAAAAGGGAGAAACGACCGTCTTTTCCTACGAATGTTGTGAGATTTATAACAATTAATTGATAATTTTTTAGTTTAATTTGTTTTTCTTAATTATTTTTAATCGATATTTCTAAAAATTAGAAGGAGGGTCCCTAAAATCGAAAAAATAGAAATTCCTTTACAACGTTGCTTGATAGCATAAACAATAATACTGGTAAAATAAAATTTTTAACTTATTTAAAGAGAATAGTCTACATTATTTGGTTAACTAAAATTAAAATAAGAGTTATATATTCAACTACTCAAAACTGGGTATACTTAATAAACAAAGTGAAAAATAAAACTGTGCTGGAGATTGGTTTCTTTTGCTTTGTTCAAAAGAATTAAATTTGATAGAAATGTAAAATTATGTATAGCTCTTTCATTTTCACAAATTACTATGAATTACACATTTAGAAAGATCATGCAAGTTCAATAAATTGTTTTGTGATAGCAGAAATAGAAGAAGTAAAGAAATAACTTTGCTATGCAATGTGCTATTTTTAATAAATGCAATACAAATTGTTCAGAATTATGGTGACAAATGATAAACATTTTTATAGTTTATGGAGAATTATAGTAGTAGTATAATCTGGGACCCTCTGAAGAATAGCCAATAATTCAGAATTGTTTGTTTGATTATTAATCCAACATGCTAGTACTCTGTAAAGACAAACTATGCAAAGAAAGCACAGAACTACAAGCAGTTATGTATCAGACATGTTTGAAAGAGTTCAAAAACTGTCAGGACACCAATTTTTGGAGGCTAAAGACAACATTGATGACTTGATCCCGACAGATGAAGCAGTTCTGTCAAGAATAGTTAGGAGGATCTCAAATTTCTCTGCAGTGCGATTCTATAGTTATATGCAGTCTACATTATATTGTGCTGAATAAACATTGCTTTATTAGAGCTGGCACATATGTTTTGTGTTCAGTAGCATATGAGACTTATTTTCTTTCTCCCAAACAAGGACAACAAAACTAAAAACAAACAAAAACAAATAAATATTATATGAATCATTATGAATGTTAATTTTGTGTAATTATGTGTTTTACTGACAAACCTGCAAAAAGGTTAGCAGTTGTAATAAAGTATATTCATAGACTTTATCATCTTCAGACTGATTTTATTAAAGAGCATTCATAAAAAATAAGTAGTAGTGTGTGTTGTTACAGTAATATTCTGCAATATTCAGTTCACATATCAAATTTTGTGAAAATAGAAAAACATCTGGTAATCTAGCATTTTTGATAATCCAACACTAGGCTGGATTAGCATACCTTCTACTGTATTTCCCTATCAACTGTATGAAATTAAGCCATACATGTTGAATTTTATAAAACTTTGATACTATAAAAATATATGATTAAACCTTTATGTAACTTAAATATATTTATAAGTATTTATGAATATTAATATTATATAATCAAACATTTTTATTTCTTTAGATCAAGATGGTGCTGAACCCAGTTCTAACTCAGTCAGTGTAACAAATCTTTTGAGATTATATAATTATTTTAATGATAGATCATATCGAGATAAGGCGATACAAATATTAAAAGCATACGGACAGAGATTAAGACACCTTCCATTAGCTTTACCCGAAATGTTATGTGGCCTCATGTTGTTAAATTATCCTTCGCAAATGGTACGACTTTGTAAATTGCTATATACAGTATATAAAATCAATTTTGAAACTTAATTTTAATTTTTTTATTTTTGTAGATTATTGTCTCAGGAAGTAGAGAAGACAGAATGACTCAAGAATTTTTGAGATGCATTCATAACCATTTTCTTCCTTTTAAGACTCTTATACTTGCAGATGGTAACAAAAACAACATATTATATAAGAAAATTGACATTTTGAATCAACTAAAAAAAGGCCAAGCGACGGTTTACGTCTGTCAGAACAATACTTGTTCTGCTCCGATAAGTACTCTCGACGACTTAGATATGAAACTACTTCACGGAAATTAGTATAAATTCTTCTCAGACTTTCCCTAAAAAGTTAGGAATGCCTTTATTTAAAAAAAAGTTTATAATTAACTGTAGATATGTCCATATGAATATTTAGTAAATTATAAATTTAATTTCAAAAGTAACAATGAAACATATTACTAAATGGAGATTTATATTTTGAATATATTTGTTAATATAAAAAAATATAAAATTAAAATACGTTATTACAATACAGTGTCCAATTTATATTAGCTTTATCTGTAATTTTATACAGAATGGTTCAAAGTAAAATAATTCAAATTTATCTGAACTTGTTTTCAAAATATATTTATACCAAATATTAAACAAACTAATTAAAAAAATGTATCTAAAAACATTTTTGGATTTTAAAGTCTCTATATTATTATTAAATTAGAAAAAATTAAGAGCTTTTATTTATGAGAATGTTTGTTATTCCATAATATTTATTCTTAATCTTGTAATAACAATTATATTTATAGTTTGATACTTATTAAAAGTAATTCTTTCTACAGTTGATTATAAGACAGATGCTTAATTATGTTTTTAACTTTCCATTATAATTTGCATACTAATCAATTAACGTTATATCTAAGGTAAATAATTTTAATCATTAACAGAAAAAAATATGTACTAAATATAGTTACATAACTTCTAAAAATAAAAATAATTGAATGCTTGTTTTATTTAAATTAGCAAATCATTAAAAACAATTAATTTTATCATCATCACCATCTTTATTGATATTTCTCATACATGAATATCTATAAAGATGACGATGAAATAATTGTTTACAAGAAAAATGTTTTTTCTGTTATAAAATTAAATAAATTATATCACTTTTTGTACAAGAAAAAAAAAACATTTTTAATATAACTAGTTGTTATTCTTAATGAAGCTTCAGGTATTTTTTTTTTTTTAAATAAAAGTATCAGTGCCTTTTATATTAAATGCAAAATGGAAAAGTAATTTGTTGTCGATGATTTAATCTGGCTCTATCATTTAATATTGGACTAGAATTTAGCTAATTTAATCCAAATTAAATATTTGTATAATTAAGGTATGCAGTTATGTAATTATTGATAATTTAGTTTTTTAATTGTAAAATATTATTATTAAATTCTTTCTAATTTTCTAATAAATTAATGGATGTAGGAACTTGAAGTCAAGAAGAAATAAGATATATAAATGATTCAGGAAAATTTAAAAAATTAAAATTTACGTAAACTATTTACTTTGAATCATTCTGTATCTATAATGAAAATTTTGTATATGTGTGAATTGAGAATGTTTTTATATTATAGTATACGATTCCCTTCAAAATGCATGGTAATTCTATTAAGAATAATCTGTATTCAAAAAGAAAAGTAATGGAATTTTTTAAAAGATAAATTATAACTGAAGTTGTACAATGATTAACAAAAAAAGTAAATTTTCAAAGTTAAAAAAATTTGATAAATTTTTAAATCTGTTCAAAAATGTCATTTACATTGACTTTATTATTATTTTTTATTCTATAAATTAATTTTTATGAGAGTTGCCTTGTACTTTACAGGAATTATTCCTTTCCAAATGCCTTTGTCATCCTGAGAGTGATTCTAAATATATATTGGAAAAAATTGTTATATTTGCTTAAAATAAAAGATCAAAATAAATGCATGAAATAATATCTTTCCAGTATTCTGTATTTATAGCATCACCAGGTAAAGACTAAGCTAGTTAAAAGTCAATGAACTTTCGTTGACGTTTTGGAAAATTTTATTCCGTTAAAGATCATGCTGGTTTCCATTTTGCATTTGAAATGGTATGATGATGGAAAACATTGAGAATTCAACCATAAACTGGACATTAATAACACCCATTCAATTTGTTTCTATATAGGTATGGTTGATGTTTCTGACAACAGGATTTTATAGAATTATGGATATAATGTGCTGGCATTATGTGTAACAGTGTGTTAGACTCTTAGTGTAAAATGAATCACATATCTTTACTGTCGCAATAAGCATCTATCAATCAAAGCTCAAAAGGTAGAGCTCTAAATTAAAGTTCCAAGAGAAAGTGGATAAAAACCGTAGCAAAAGATGTCTTACTTTTCGAGAAATTTTTGACAGACTTTTTCTCAAATTAACTATAATAAAATTCTATTATAACTGATGTCATTCTGCCATAATCATCATTATTTTTGTTTAATCAGTATGTCATCAATGGCTGAAACATTTCTCATCCAACAATAGCATTTAATTAACTTACTGTTTGGCATACTTTAAACGGTAAGTTAATTATAAACATTTAAGTTCATGAATGAACATGACAAATTTATGTATACATTAAGCTCTCCATTTACGTGAGTATATTTGGTTTCTTGAAAACAGTGTAAATGGAACAATGGAAAGCTGTTTAAAATAGGGATATCTTCCCTATTCTCAAATACAGTATTTTACTGGAGAAGAAAAGTTTTTTAACTAAAATTTAAAAAACAAGTCTATATAAAAGGTTATTGATAACAAAAGATACACATTTTGATGTAATTATCATTACCATGAAGTTTTATTATTTTAAATTAGACTCTGTTGAAAAAATTTTTAAAGTGAATTCATGTAAATGGAGGGGTTACTGCACAAGTTTTTATGTTTCAGTTATGCAACCATTTATATATACATTTAAATATTGATGACTTAAAATGCAGTTAAAGAAGAGTAAATTTTCATGAAAATTACATGCCATTCTATCATCACATAGAAGACAATCAGAATCAGATTTATCAGCCATAATTTATTTTAATTTCGACTCTGTTATTTTGTATCACTTAAAAGATAGATTTTTATTATTGCTTTAATGTATCAATGTGCTTTTAAGAATGTAAACTATACAAGACTGTTCATACACTTGAAAATATATATATATATATATANAATTATTTTTAAAAATTCTAAATTATTTTCTGTATAAGACAGAATGTAAAACAAAATATTGTTATAAATTAATGGGAATTATTTTTCCTTTGATAATTTCCTTCATCAATTTTTATTTAACTCTTTTTAATTTCTTTTTTGGTAATCAATTGATATTTTTATGTACATTTATAAAAATTTATGTTAACTTTTCTTTTTAATTTCTAAAAAAGTTTTTGTTTTTTTTAGGAAAGTAGGAAACAACTGTGTTCTCTTTTAACATATGCAATATTTAATATATATATATAAGAAACGAGTTTATTTTTTGCTGAAATTTATTTATTGTTAGTTTACATTTAAGGTTATTATCAATGTATTTTATATCATTAATTATGGATAATATTTATTTTCCTTTTTTTTTAATTGCTTTCACTTCTCAGTAATATCTGAATAAAACTTTCTGAAGTCTTCTTGGAGCATTTTTTAAGATTATTAGACTAAAATTTTCTTTGATATTTTTTTATACAGATATTTACGGCTTAATATCTGTCTTTCCCTGATTTTTAGGAATTTATTACTGATTAGGGAAAGATTTTGTAAGAAAATGCTCTCTCCTTGGAGCCATTTTCCATTATTTTAAATTGGAAATTTTATTATGCGTTATATCAGCCCAAATTTTCGCAAGTAAAATACAGCGAAACGTCTGTATATAAATAACAAACTAATGTATCATATTACGATGTAAAATGCTTAATACATCGCTTTCTGATCACTAAATGCCCAACAGTGGCCGAGTGGATAGAACCAGGAACACTGGTAATTGTTGGTCAACGTGGCAGCCACGTGGATTTTCCGGGGTTTCTTTACATTAGTAATACTTAAATAGGGCCAATTTCCCCATAAAAGACCTCCCGGTAGGCACCCTCTTCAGCAGATCGCCCAAGTGTCGCATTGCCGTAATTGAATAAAACCAAACTAATCACTAAATAGTTATTTTATATGCAGCAAGAAGTACAGACTACGTGCTCTTACTTAAATATTAATGCTTATGATACGGAAGGGCAAAAAATGCACATCAAAAAAGAGATCTGTAAGCGAAATTGCGGGCATCAATTTATAATAAAATCGAGGAATAAATTGCTACGCGTTTTTAAGTGCCTCCTGGTATTTTTTTAAATTGTAGAATTGATGGGACAAAAGCAGCGGCGCCCGCAGACTATAAAAAAAGGGCATCATACATTATTCAAAAAGCTTTAAACTATGATTCAACGTTGGATTAGCGCTGTCACAAGGTTGCAATGGTTGCAATCGGGGGTTGCTTGGCTTTGAAAACAAGGAACATTTTGTTTATAAGGTCAAGTTTTATTAAACATACGCGGAATTTGCTTGGGACAATGGACAAATATGTTCATTACTTTCTTTTATATTTTCAGAATAAGCATGAAGTGATGAATCGTCTGTTTGTTGATAATGGAATTTGGAAAATGCTCTGTTAAATACGCTTTCGATGGATGTTGGTATGACATAAAGCCTGTAATTCCTCCTGTCCTAATGCTAGGTGACACTTCAGAGATGTGCAGCTCCTTTGTTGACACTCGCTAAGGGTTTTTAAATCGTGTGAATCGAAATTATTTTTTAATAATTGGCATTTTTATTGGCCACAAAATATACGGGATTCTATACTTTTGAATGGAGATATTGGATTACGTAGACAAACATAATTATTGAATAAAACTGTTAGTATTCAATACAGAATATCTGCAAATAGTGAATGCACAGGAAAAAATCTTTTCCTTTATGTTCACTAAGTATTGGAATTACTTAATAGAAAATTTTGTATTTGTATAACCAGGGATCAGTGATAAGATTTTAGGGAGTCTGTGAGCTTAGATTGGAAAAAATAACTCATTGTCTTTATTATTTCCAACCTCTTAAATCTAACATTTCCTTCACTGATGAATGTATGCAATAAATGACTGTAGTATTTAGCGGTCTTCGTTCCCTGAACACTGGGAGTTCGGTCGTGAGTTCGCGCCTCACTCGAACGGGTTTTCTCCACGTCTGTAAAAGGCGGCCATACACGTTAAGTTAATCCTTTGAGGCTGTTTGACCTTGAGGAACTTCATAATTTCCTATCACCCATACACGAAAAAGAAAATATCTCAGCAGAGGCGTAGCTAAGGTGGGGGCAAGTAGTGAACGTGCCCAGAGGTATTCTTGAAGCACATTTCCACAATTAAAGGCAGTTGCTATTGCTTTGGTTTTCTTTGTTTTTTTTTGAAAAAAACTATATATTTAACTATACAAAGTAGGCATACTAGTTTTATACATTCTCAGTCAAACATTTTATTATTTTCTGTTTTATTTGCATATTGCTTCTGGAAACAGTAGTACTGCAAATATAACCAAGACTGCTACCTTCAAATTT